TATTAGTGATACTCCTATTCACAATTTGCTATACAGAGAGTATAAATACTAGGAATCTCTTATTCCCTCTACATAGCGGCATGTGTAAGGATTATCCCCACTGTTTCTCCGTGTTCTCCTGCTCCTTTTTCTTCCCTTTCGTATTCTCGTCAGTCTTTCTCCATCTTATCTTACATTACTAGTCTCTCAAGGAGAAACTACAAATCACTGCTCAATTTCGACATACGCAAGAGGCCCACAAATAAATGAAAAATCATTCATGCTCGTATGGATAGGAATAATCATATTTGTTTCTCATTGTATAAAAATGTCCATACTTGCCCAACGGTTAATTCTATTACGTATTTCAATGCGCCATCTCCCATCAAGCTGAAGCTACCAATGACTTTCTTCACAGAATTGGAAAAAACTACATTAACATTCATATGGAGCCAAAAAAGAGCCTGCATTGCCAAGACAATCCTAAGCAAAATGAACAAGACTAGAGGCATCTTGCTAACCGACTTCAAACTATACTACAAGTCTACAGTAGTAAAAACAGCATGGTACTGGTACCAAAACAGATATATAGACCAATGTTACAGAACAGAGGCCTCATAAGTAACACCACACATCTACAACCATCTGATCTTTGACAAACCTGACAAAATCAAGAAATGGGGAAAGGCTGTTTATTAAATATTTATTAAATATTTATTTGTTATTTATTTAATTTTATTTATTTAATATTATTTAATATATTTATTAACTATTAATGTTTAATATTATTTATTAAAATAAATAAATGTTCTAAATAAATATTAATTTATTTAATAAATGGTGCTGGGAAAACTGGCTAGCTATATGTAGAAAGCTGAAACTGGATCCCTTCCTTATGCATTATATAAATGCATATATAATGCATTACATATAAAGTTATAAATGTAGGTATATTATATAAAGTTATTAACTATATTATATAGTTTTTTATATTTATATATAATTTATATTTATATTTTTATAAATATCATTTATCATTTATTATCATTTATTACCACTATTGTTTTTTATTATCATTCTCCTAGGTTTTTGAAGGATTTTATAAAATTTATATTTATATTTTTATAATTATCATTTATCATTTATTATCATTTATTACCACTATTGTTTTTTATTATCATTCTCCTAGGTTTTTGAAGGATTTTCTTCCACGCACAGAGCTCTCAGCACTCTGAAAGCAGATCCAATCACAGAAAACACAAGAGGTTTTGCCCAACAATAGGACAGATGTGAAAGAATCAAAATTCTGTCTGGAAAAAAATTGTTTTTCTTCTTTCAGTAGCCTCAGAACATTTCAAGCATTGTCACGGCTTGGGGGCTGAGAGTGCAGGTTCTGAGGTCAGGCTGCCTGGCGTGGGATTCCGCCTTCCCTCCACAGATATTCTCAGCTGTTAAGTGACTTTGGGCAAGTCGACCTCTCTAAGCTTCAGCTTCCTCATCTATAAAAAAGGGATGATGATAATCCTTCCCTGGGGATTATGTGAAGATGAAATGAGGTAACATGCCTAATGAGGTTAAGCCATTGGCTGGCATATAGTAAACACTCAGTTAATGATCACTTTACTTGTTCAGTATCAGAGGGGTGGTGTGTCCTTTAGCTGGGACAGTCATGGTGTTCAGCATTGTGACTGACTGACGGTAAATGCCAAATCGATGTTTGCCATTATTACTTTTTATTTATTTATTTTTATTTGTTTTTTTTGAGACAGGGTCTCACTCTGTCTGTCACCCAGGCTGGAATGGTATAGTGGCACAATCATAGCTCACTGCATCCTCAAACTTCTGGGCTCAGCTGATCCTCCCACCTCAGCCTCCCAAGTAGCTGGGAATACGCAACAACACCCGGCTAATTTTTGTATTTTTTGTAGAGATGGGGTTTCACCATGTTGCCCAGGCTGATCTCAAACTCCTGGTCTCAAGTGATTCTCCTGCCTTGGCCTCCAAAAGTGCTGGGATTACAGGTGTGGGCCACCGCACTCAGCCCCATTATTACTCTTTTTTTTTTTTTTTTGAGACAGAGTCTCGCTCTGTCGCCCAGGCTGGAGTGCAGTGGCATGATCTCAGCTCACTGCAAGCTCTGCCTCCCGGGTTCATGCCATTCTCCTCCCTCAGCCTCCCAAGTAGCTGGGACTACAGGCGCCCACCACACGCCCAGCTAATTTTTTGTATTTTTAGTAGAGACGGGGTTTCGCCGTGTTAGCCAGGATGGTCTCGATCTCCTGACCTCATGATCCGCCCGCCTCGGCCTCCCAAAGTGCTGGGATTACAGGCATGAGCCACCGCCCATTATTACTCTTAATGTTCGGTTACATATTCATTGATCAGCAAATCTAACATGGTGAAAGGATTCTGAAAGTTGAGGCTTTAGAAGGGCCTGACATTGGGCGTTACCTTTTTCTTACACTCCTTGAAAAATTGTGGGTGGCTACAGTTGTAACATGAGCATGAAACTTTCCCCTGTACCTCAGCTCCTCTCTGGAAGACGCAAAATGTGTACCTTTCTTGACATCTTGGAATAAAGCCTAGGAGAACGTTACTAGGAGGAAGCTGTCAAACACTTAAATATTTCTGTTATTCCCCATCCGTCTTTGGGGGGAATTAATCTGCAAATTAAGTGGGCATGGCCAAGTGGTAAAAATTATGAGATAAATCCTCCCAAAAGAAAACATTTCTGGGCCGGGCTTGGTGGCTCACACCTGTAATCCCTGCACTTTGGGTGGTGAAGGCAGATGGATCACTTGGGGCCAGGAGTTCAAGACCAGCCTGGGCAACACAGAGAAACCCATCTCTACCAAAAAATACAAAAATTCGCTGGGCGTGGTGCCATGCACCTTTACTCCCAGCTACTCGGGAGGCGGAGGCAGGAGAATCGCTGGAACCCAGGGGGCAGATGTTGCAGTGAGCCAAGATCGCACTAATGCACTCCAGCCTGGGCAACAGAGTGAGACTCCATTCATCTCAAAAAAAGATAGAAAACACCTGAAGCTGGTCATCAGCAGCTTCCCGATAAGATCTCAGGAGTTGGGCAAATAGGCACATGCACACATAGTAAGAGGCAAGATGGCAGAGTTTAACTGGTATATAACCTTCCTCTGGGAACATTGGACTGATAAAGGAAAATCCCTCAAATGAGCATGCGTACAACTTCAGTGAACACATTGCACATGCGGCCCCTCCCAAGTACTGGCAGGCCACTGACACGCAGACAGCCCACCCCAACGAAAAACCAAGGGAGGGCACAAACCTCAGAACCATGCTAATGTATAGAAACCCCAAGTGAAGGGTCAGACCAGGCATTTGAATCGCTCGAGTCGCCCGCTTGGCCCTCTTCCAAGTGTATTTTACTTCCTTTCGTTCCTGGTCTAAGACATTTTAATAAACGTTTACCCCTGCTCTAAACTTTGCCTTGGTCTCTCACTCTGCCTTATGCTGCTTGGCCAAATTCTTTCCTCCGAGGAGGCAAGAATCGATTGCTGCAGACCTGTACAGACTCGCACTGCTAACGGTGATCCAGGGAATTCTCCAAGATCTCACCCAAGATCACCAAGATGGTACCTCTACAAATATGTAAACTATTCATATCTTGAGTAGTAGACTAAAAGGCAAACCTATCAAAAATAATAGCTACAGCTTTTTAAGACATAGTATAATAAGATACAAATATTGTAGAAACAATACAAAGTTAAAAATCAGAGGGATGAAGTTAAAGTATAAAGTATTAGTTTTCTCTGCTTGTTTTTGCAATCAGAGTTATCATCAGTTTAAAATAATGGGTTATAAGATGGTATTCGCAAGCCTCATGCTAAACTCATATCAAAAAGCCTACAACGGATACACAAAAATATAAAGCAAGAAATTAAAACATACCATCAGAGAAAATCACTTTCATAAAAAGGAAGATGGAAAGAAGGGAGGAAGGGGAGATCAGAAGACAAATAACAAAATGGCAGTAGTAAGTCCTTACTTATCAATAACATTGAATGTAAATGGACTAAACTCTCCAATCAAAAGACATAGAGTGGCTGAATGGATACACACACAAAAAAAGACCTAATGATTAGCTGCCTATAAGAAACTCTTCACCTATAAAGACACACATAGACTAAAAATAAAGGGATGGAAAAAGATATTCTAATGGAAACCAAAAAAGAGCAAAAGTAGCTATATACTTTTATCAGATAAAATAGATTTTAAGATTGGGTGTGGTGGCTCAC